ATCATTTGCACTACAATTTTTATTTAAAATAAAATTAAACAGTTCAATTAAATCATTATTCGAAATATTTTTGCAGCGTTCCCAATTCGTACATGCGCTTTATGTCGGTGCCGCCACCCACAAATTTACCATTGATAAACACTCGAGGCACCTGCAACGAATACATTTTACCATTAGGATAATGTAAATAGTTTTTTTTTTGTTTTTAACTAACCGTCCGAGCGCCTGTCATCTCGCCCAGTACAGATTGAATAGCATTGCCATCTTTACGTCCATCGAGCTCCACTATCATTGCATCAACCTTCAACTTGCGAAATGGCTGTGAAATAACACATATATTAATATAATAGCACATATTTGAAGTTCTTCACTTGTAGTTTTTACCTCTTTAGCCATTGTGCAATAGGGACAAGTAGTTTTGCTAAATATTGCTACCTTATTCTTAGCAATTGTATCACGAACAAATTGAGCTTCTATGCTATCCATATTTATATGAGGTTTTGACGGTTCGCGGTCAAAATCCAAGAACGGAAATGGAAATTTTTTTGTTGCTATTGACAACGCTTGAAACTTGTCTCTTCTTAAGGACGTTAAGAGGTTGCTACGAAATCGTATAGGGATTACAAATTGAAGGTTAATTTTTATAAACTTTATTAGCAACGCATTTTCGTTGACATGTCAATCTAATGTAGTTGCCAGATAACTAAGAAAAAAAAAAGCGTTCACTTACTATTTAAAAAATGCTGAAWACATAATCACTTTATTTAAAACATGTAGACTTTATTTTGAGTAAACTATTATCGTTTTATATGTAATCAAGAGCCCATACATGCTAAAGAAATATGTATATTTAAAAGTGCTTAACAGGTCTGGCAGCACTATTGATTTGATGCGGTTTTCTTAAAACATAATTAAAGCTGTCATGCATATTATAGGTATACATTGTATACTATACAATGGCGATCACATATATCTTCATATAGTACATGAGCTCCAATTTAAACATGGACTCCACAATTMATATTTTTKGGATTTTTTCGACAACCCATAATTCTTCTATTTGACAACCTGCAACTAGTCGACTTCTCCTAACAGCTGATTCGACACGCGGACTCATGTCGCTGCCTTCAATACACTACGATTGAGTGATAGCACTAACGGTAATAGTGCCTCTATTTTCTAGTATTAGTTGAAAACACCTTCCACATACGATCGAATTCTGATTGGAAGACATTGGTCATTTTTGGATGAGATGTGATGACTACATTTTCCCAGTTGACGCCGATGCCGGTATCCGTCCAGTTGAGRGAGCCATTGATTAGGACGCTGTACGTAGTCTCTGGTCCGTAATTGCGTTTCTTGAGACTCCAAAGGTGATTCACTCGCTCTTGCCCATCGATCACACAGAACTTATGATGCATAAAGTAATTGGAATTCTGGTTACGCAGATGGGCGCCATGGTGAATTAGATCGACCAGAAGGCAATTRGTTTTATCCCCGCGTTGTAGAGTGACAATTATACGAACAACAACCTTGCGGAGCAAGGCGTTTTTTAAAGCGCGTGTCATCTCAACGGAGTAGACGGAATACATGGCCAGATCAATGCTGTATTTGGCCTTGTTCAGCTGTTCGATAATGCGGTCGATGTTGGCCTGAGCGCAATGCTTATTTTGACAATAATATAAACGGCC